ACCTAGGCGACAGCCCCAGAAGAGCGGTGGGTTAGTAGTATTCTATTTCCAAAATTTCATACCTTCAGACTTCTAGTTATGACCACATTTCTCATTAACCCCAGGGAAGGCTTCAGCTGGCTTCTTTTAAAGATAGCATCTTTTACACAAGAGCTTTATAATTTTGTCTTTAAACCCAAATCAGCAGGTGAAGGCTCAGGAGATCTCCCTTCCTTCCTTTCTTCTTTTTTCCTTGTCTTCCTTTTTTTTTTTTTTTCAGAATAAGTTTCTTTCTGCAAAATCTTGGGGTCAGGGATCAAGACTAAATCCTAGAGCAACAAAGAACTTTCTGGTTCTTCAGGGAGTCCTAGCAGAGTTAGAGATACCACCCAATGCATGAAATAGAGCCCAGAAAGAATGGAGGGGCAAATTTTTGCTCAGCGCTGCCACCGCTCCAGCCTCTGCTCTGCTCTCCTGCAGCCGTGCAGCAGCTGTGCCACTGCGTCACTCAGAGCACTGGGTGGAGCTCTTTATATAGAGTCAATAGCAACATATTGCCCATGTGTGTAGTGAACAAGCTGACCAGGGCCAGGTGAGAATCCTGCCAGCAAGAACCTTCACTTTCTCCACAGGATTATTTTAACAAATCGCAACAACAATCAAGAACAAAGAGCAAGAGGTAGTTTCTGATATGCTGCTTGAGGAAAGACCCATTGTCTTGCCAATGGGTTTCAGCCCCCAGACAAGATCACCATGGATTCAGTGAGACTGAAAAATATGACAGTGGAACGTTCTTGGGGTGAAAGGTTTTACACCCAACTTTATTCCCACAGTGGCAGGTCAATCACTAGAATCCTGTCCAGTCAGAGCGAGTTTGCATGCAGCAAGCCGGTCTCTGCCTCTGGGCCTCTCTGCCCTCACAGAGGTCTCAGTCTCTGTCCTCGGTGCTGCCACCACTCCAGTCTTGTCTCTGTTCTCCTGCAGCCATGCATCAGCCATGCAGCAGCAGTGCCACCACCATTTTGCCCAGAGCACTGGGTGGAGCTCTTTATACAGAGTCAATAACAACGTATTGCCCACACATGTGTAGTGAGCAGGCCGACCAGGGCCAGGTGAGATTCCTGGCCACAGGAACCTTCACTTTCTCCACACCCATGTTGTAAATGTGTAAGCTTGGAAAATGCTATAAAAAAACCCCATAATTTTTATTTAATTTTTTTATTGTGGTAAGAACACTTAACATGAGATCTATCCTCTTAACACATTTTTAAATGCACAGTGATGTTAACTATGGGCACTAGGTTATACAGAAGATCTCTAAAACTTATATATCTTGTTTAACTGAAACTATATACCCATGGAGAAACATCTATTCAGGTCCTTTGCCCATTTTTTGGTTGTTTTTTTTTTTTGCTATTGAGTTGTAGGAGTTCAATAATATTTCAGATATTAACCCCTTATCAGATATAGGGTTTTCAAATATTTTCTCCCACTCTGTAGGTTACCTTTTCACTCTAATTGTTTCCTTTGCTGTGCAGTTCAGTTTAGTTCTGCTGTGCAGAACTTGTCTATTTTTGTTTGTTTTCTTGACTGTGCTTTTGGTATCATATCCAAGAAATTAGTGCCAAGACTGATACCAAGAAGCTTTCCCCTGTTTTACTTCTAGAAATTCTATAGTTTTGGCTTTTACTCATTTAAATCTTTTGTCCATTTTGAGTTGAATTTTGTCAAATGCTTTTTCTGCATCTGTTGCGATAATCATATAATTCTGTTCCTTCACTCTGTTAATGGGGTATGTCACATTTATTGATATATGTATTTTGAATTATCCTTGTATCAGGGGATAAATTCCACTTGATCATGGTGTATAATCCTCTAAATGTGGTGCTGGAAAGCAAACTTCTTAGAAATTGGATGGGTAGGCATTATGTTTAGGAGGAACAACCTGGAGTGTAATATAAAAATGCCAGCCTTATACCTAGAATCAATAGCTGATCACTTTGATCTGAGGAGCACCAAAAGTCTCTTCATTTTACTACACAAAAAGTGATCCATCCTCCTTTGGACCTGCAAGGATGCTTGAAATTAAAAGTATAATATTATAATTACAATTCCTGTGGCATAAACTCCCCATCCACTGTTAAAAACAAATACCATAGGTTGAGGAGGAGTAAGGGAAAGTATCAAATATTATCAATATTTTACATATCAGTGGAAATTATTTAAAGAGCTTCTTTCTCTAGAGTTGTTTTTCTCTCCATTAATAGAGAAAGCAGACAGAACTGCACTGCAAGTTTGAAGACCTACCTTACCTACTGGATAATTTTGCCAAAGGTGGTTCCTGCTGAAGGCCTTAAACAGAGCCTTTTCAAGAACGTAGTAATATAAGACATTTCATTTGTGCTCCACATGGCTTCTTTATTATTCATTCAACAAATATTTGTTGAGTGCCTGTTATGTGTCAGGCACTGTACAGGGCACTGGACATACCATAGTGAGCAAAAGCAAGTAGGGAACTTACAAATATGACCTTACATGTGAGCCATGTTGGTGGACATTATTGCTCTCTTCCTTCTGATGTACATAGTTGATTTTCCTGGCAAGATTTCTCGGCCAGGCCCTATATTCCCCCACCTTTTTGTAGTTTCAGGCCTAGCACAAACCACGTTTTCAATGTACTTGTTAATAATGATGGTAAGATAGTAGATGGTTTTAGGAACCCAGATTTTCAGTATAGCACAACTCCAGCATTGATGGGGGGACTTCACATTGTAGGTACTTGATAGAGGATTCTAGACCAAGATTTAGAATGATCAGGAACAGGATCTCCCAAATAGAAGTAAGTACCAACCACTTAAGGGAACACAACTACAGTTGCTAATTAGAATATCAAAGGCTAGAGAATGTTGAATGAATTCAGAAAGCAGTTTAACAGTGCAGTAGTTTAGAAAAGTCACTACCTGTAAGAAGTGCAGAATCCCAGGATCAATGTTATATTAGAGAAGAAAAGGACTTGCAGATCCTTTATCCAGCTGAAAAAAGTTAAGCTGAAAAGAGCTGAAAAGTTAAGAGAGATGTAAAGAGTTGGAAACGATATCTTCAGTGTCTCATGAGTCAGTGGCAGAACTGAGTTCAGAACCCAGGCCTTCTGATTCCTAATGCAGTCTTCTTTTTACTGACTTCACTTTATTGATTCCCATTCATTTTTGGATTCATTGTGGTCTCTCAACTTGCAGCCTCTCTAAATCCAAATCCAATGGACACCTTTCTATCTTTAGCTCACTTGACATCTCAACAGAGTGTGAGATGTGATAAACTTTCCGTCCTCAAAGTTTCATTTTCCTTGGATTGTAAGATACTCCTCTCTCCTGGATTTCGCTGTTTCTCTGGACTTTTCATATAAGTTTCATTATGACCTCCTATCTCTTGGTCTGTCCTTTAAGTGTTGTGGGGGTCTCAGGGTTTTGTCCTCTATCTTCTTTTGTTACTCCACAACTCTCTTTTGTTGATCTTATACAGTGCCATGTCTTCAATTATCCTCTGCTTATTGATTACGCCCGAATTTCTATCTCTAGTTCAGCTTTCTTTTATGAGATCCCATATGTCAAATTGTCTACTAGATATTGCCACTTGTATATTCTACAGGCATCACCAGTTCAACATGTCTAATAGAATGCATTATATCTTCTATCTCCTTCCTCCACTGTTCTTTATTTCAGAGACTTGTATCATGTTCTGACCATTTCCCTAGGTCTGAAAAGCTTAAAATCATCTTGGAGACCAACTTTGTCCTCTTTACCTTCTGTATCTTGTCAGTCACCAAATTGTTATTGGTTCTACTTTCTTAATCTCTGATATTTTTTACCTTGGAATTTGTCTCCATTCTCCATCTTCACTACTACTCTCTTGGTCTGTCATCATTTCTCATATGTATTACTACTAGTCTAATTACTGCAAACTAGTCTCCCTGCCTCCAGTCTTGCCCCCTTCCAACCCATTCTCCACACTGCTACTTGAGCAATCTTTTAAAAATAGAAATCTGATTATACCATGTCTCTGCTTAAAGCCATTGTCTACAGGACTGAATCTAAAAACCTATGAAGGACATGTAGGGCTCTTGATGATCTGGTCCTTGCCTTGGCTGACATCATAGACCCAACAGAACAAATGCCTTGGATTTCTTAGATTCTAACATATCCTTCTCTTTTTTAAATCTTGGGTCTTACTGCATGTTGTTCCTTCTGCCTGAAAGCCTCTTAACACCAACCCCACCTTGCAACCCCATTCATGAGGTTAACTTTCCTTTTACTTCTCAACTCAGAGATATCTCTCCTCTCCTCCCCTGAAATCTGAGTTTGGGTGGTTCCTCTCCATCTTCCTCTGTCTGGGCTACTTTAATTATACAGCCAATCGAGTTGCAAGGACTCCCTTTACTTTATGAGTTGCAATAGCACTTTTTACTCTGCATTGCCATTATCTGTTCATATCTGTATCTCTCTCCAAGAGGGAAGTATGGTGGAGAAAGAAGGACATATTTAAAATGATAAAAAGGGTAGTAATATCACTAATATAATGCTAACAACGTGCCAGACCCTGTCATAATCACGTGCTGTATGGTAACCCATGTGAGGTGGGCAGCTTTTACTGAATTTGAATCAACAGGACTTGGTCATGGATTGAATGTGGGGGCACAGAAGAAAGAAGAGTCTCCGTTGACTAACAGGTTTCTGACTGGAGAGAGTGGGTGAAGATTGGCTGGCGGGGGCCATCTACCGAGATGGACATAAGAAGTACAGGAAGAGGAAGAGTTTTGGTCAGGGTAGTGGACAGAAACTTTCAGTTTGGGGACTGACATTCCTTTTCCATCCTTTCATAACTGATACTTCCAGACGCTCCAGGAATAATGTGAGTAACAGATCTTTACCTCTGACTGACAGGCGTTTGGAAATCCTGCTGTCTGTTTCGGGACAGGAGACTAGCACTCAGGGTCTCTTCATTAGCTTGCTGGTAGCAGGAGGGCTATGTTCTTGGGACTCTGGGCTATCTTTCACCTTATGCTCTGCTTTGCAGCTCCCATAAGACAGCGAGGACACCATGGCCTTGCATCCTTCAAGCTCCTGTGGTGCTTGTGCCTCCTGGCCCTCACGTCCCTTCTGCAGCAGGTGTCAGCACCCCCTACAAGATATGGGTCGTGGGGCCCTGGGCTTGTGATCTGTTGTTCTCAAAGGCCCTGCCTGAGTGTTTTGCTCGACTAGCCACTTTGTAGATTAACAGGGACCCATAATTTGATCTTTTGAATATGTGATTCTCAGTGAAGACTGCCGGTCTTCCGGGGCACTTTCCAGTTTCATTTCCCACCACCAGATGGCATTAGGAGTTATTGGACCTACCAACCCTGGCTACTGCGAGGCTGCCTTGCTCCTGGGAAACAGCTGGGACAAAGGGATTTTTCTCCTGGGCTTGTGTATATTATGAACTAGACAATAAAAATAGCTACCCGACCTTTACTAGGACACTCCCTTCTCTGATCCGGGTGCTGGTAACTGTCATGAGATACTTCCAATGGACTCATGCTGGAGTCACTTCGTCAGATGAAGATATTTGGGTGCACACAATTGAGTCCCAAGTGCTGTTTGGAGCTAAGGCCTACCAGCAGAGGTCGTCCTGACTACAGGACAGGACAGTCAAAGCACTGGGAAAGCTTTCCAGCGCATTGGCCAGGTTGACAAAGTTCGCAGGGAGGGTTTTCTCCCAGCCAGGTTTAAATGTGGCTTCAGTGAGAAACAGAACAATCTCCGAAAGTCTTCCTACCCTCACACCTACGATACATTACTCCCCAGTTCTTCACACGTGTGCCTCTCTCACTCACAGTCAGGCTCCAAGACTGTCCTGCTTCGACAGAGCCTATTTTTTGAACTGAATAAAGGTACAAAGAACTCTGTGGCTAAGATTTCTTTGGGTACCAGTGTCTCCTCTTAGCACCTGGGTGAGGGAGAGCAGCTTCAAGAGTAAGGAGAGCCATACACCCTGTATACCCTTAGGACCTTGGTAGTTCCAGATCAGCCAAAGAGGATGTTCTCATGGCTTCAGTTTTGCTCCCTTCTGGGTACTTTCCCTCATAGGTGCCCAGTGCCCTGGTGTTATCACATCTCACGTAGAACCTGTCTTCCCTGGACTCCAAAATGCACATCTGCCTTCTTTCCTCTGCCTCCCCAAACAGGGCTTGTCTCTCTGCAGCACACAACTGGAGGGATCTAGCTGATCAATGGAGGCATAGTAAAATGAGAAGACTCCCTGAATTTTATTTACCCTTTCCCCTTCCAAGATAAGTTTTACATTCAAAGCTGATTCTTACAGAGATGATGGACAAAATGTGAAGCAGGAGACTGATTGACTTTCTGAAGCTACCATCACCAGTGCGACCTGGGGAAGGGGAGCTCTTCCTAGTCTTCTGGAATCAGACATGTCATACTTATCGCAGTCCTTGTGGCACTTGGTTTGGATTTTTCTTCTAACTTTTTGATCTCCACTTTACCTTTTCTTCTGAAAAGTGGCAGTGAATTGTTGGGAACACTGCTCATTTCCCCATTGCAGCCACTCCACCACCTCAGGAGGGAGAGCTCAGAAACTCTGTCAAACTGATTACTTTGAGGATTAGTCCTGGTCCCGGTCATTTCCTTAGCATAACAATGGGTTTGTTAGAGAATGGCCAAGCTTAGGCCTGGCCTATAACCAGAAGCCCATTTTAAGTTTCAAGTGTCTCTAGTATTGGGCCTTAATTATGATCATTATGGGAGCAGGAAGGCAAGAATTTTTAGTTCTAGGAACTATAGTAGTTTGCTTCCAGCTCCAGTCTACAAGATCCTATGTTAGGCAAATCAGTGTGGCTCTGATTACTTCATAATAGAGCTTGACACTTTCAAAGCAGAGCACAGAATTATTTTTAAAGATAGAAAACCATTTCCAGGGAAGAGTCATGCCAGAAACAGGCTAACATATTTAGTATCATAATGTTTTAATATGTTACAAATCTTCAAGAAGTCCAGTGTCCCCTGCAAGTTTACATTCCATAAGTGTTTCACATCGCACCCATTCTAAATAGTATACTTTTTGAAATAACGTTTTGGCCTCTACCATGAAATGTTAAATAAATCCAGGCCCTGAAGCTCTTTGAGCTGTCAGACTGACAAGCTAGGATACAGCATTCACCAGCCACAATTCCTTTGAGGCAGAGGTGGCAAATGCACATATTATTGTCCTACTATTAGAAAATCATTCCTTTAAGTCAGTGGTTTTCCCTCTGGATGCACACTAGAATTACTTGGATATCTTTTCAAAATAACTGGTGCCAGAGTGCCACCTCCACAGGTTCTAATGGGCTGCAGTGTGGCTCCAGCGAAGGTATTCTAACTGGCTTCTGAGTTCTTGAAAAATGCAGCCAGAGTCAAGAACCACTGCTTTAAGTTAATGGAAATGCCAACAAGTCTTCCTTACTTTAAGTTACAAGCCACTTTTGTCTTAATATGACTTTGTTTAATCAGGTTGTTTTCTTTATAACAGTATGAATCAGCCTACTAAGGGAATGGAAATTTTAAGACTGGGGGCAAAATAAAGCCTAGAGAGGAAGGTATGTGGTTATGGAGCAAAGGAAGACCCTGGGTAGAGAGGACAGCAGCAGGAAGTGAAGTAGGAACTCAGAAAGGAGGATGAAAGGGAGCCAAGACAGAGCTCTGCTCTTTGGGATTTTGCCTCTGTGTGGATAAAATGAAGGTTCCTGTGGCCAGGATTCTCACCTGGCCCTGGCTGGCTAGCTCACTGCACACCTGTGGGCAATACGTTGTTATTGACTCTATATAAAGAGCTCCGCCCAGTGCTCTGGGCAAGACAATGGCACGGCTGCAAGGCTGCAGGAGAGCAGAGACAAGACTGGAGTAGTGGCAACACTGAGGACGGAGACTGAGACGGCTATGCAGGCAGAGAGGCCAGAGGCTGTGTGCAAACTTGCTCTGAGTGGATGGGATTTTAGTGATTGACCTGCCACCATGGAAATAAAGTTGGGTATAACCTTTTCACCCCAAGAACATTTTACTGTAATTTCTTTGGTCACATTGAATTCATAGTGAACTTGCCCAGGTCTGAAATCCATTGGCAAGACACTCTGCTTTCTGACAAAACAGGCAGACTCAGAGATGGCATGAGTCAGAATGTGGGTGGGGGTGGGGGCAGCAAAACAGAGCCATTGGTTGGGCTGTGGCTTGAGTCCAACCCCTGGCAGTCCAGTGTGCAGTGTCCAAAGGAGTGTGTAGTATTTATGTGTGGTAGAGCCAGTTGCAGGTATGCAAGGGCTTTGCTAAGTGATGGGTGGGGTGTGACAGTAGGAACTGTGGAAGGGCAATGAGTCTTCAAGGAAGACAGGTTTGCCATCACTTGATCATCCATCGAGAGCAGTGCCTCAGCCAGTGGGAGCAGGAGGGGCAGAGTATGAACATAAATAGACCATGTATCAGGACTTCAATCAAGCGGCCTGGGGTTCAGGGCATGTTTCGGGTCCCACCAGAAAACGGAAGACCTGGTGGGAAACTGAGGCAGAAGTCAATGAATATGGATTTGGTCAATAGAACAGAAGGGTAGGTTACAACCCACCAGGCACAGCACACAGCCGATGGGATCTCTAGCTGCTTTTCTAGTGCCTCTCATCTGGTAGGACTGAGAATGCTGAAGCATTCCTAGCTGTTGTCTATCTTGACTGAAAAAGCACTAAGAGTTTTGTGTTACCTCAGCTGAGAAGGGCTGAGAAAGGTAGGGCCTGGCCTCTTCCCTATTCTACTGGATGGATATGAGGCTACTCTTCACTGTGGCCTCCCAAGCAAGCCTTCAGAGAAGGACCTATTTTGATGTATAAAATACAGTGGACAGGGAGCCCTTCCTTTGGAGAAGCCTGGCAATATTTGGACATAATAAAAATGGGAGATTTGTTTGGTTTTATCTGTTCACAATAACATTGATCACAGACAGCCCCATGTGGTGGTGGTAGTGAGGGATAGGGGTGGGGAGGAATGGGAGAGAAAGCTAGCCTACTACTGGTTGGTGTGTCACCTCTCTTTCTTGTACATTTCTGTTTCCAATTAGGAAATGTCACTGGCACCTTACTGGAGTCAGAAGAAATGCCTTTCTCAAAAACAGGTCTACATTGTGCCAGGACAATACCAAGACAATGAGAAAATTTAATAGTAAAGATGATAATAACAATAATAATGGTTCTGGGCTCTGTGGAGAAGAAACAGCAGGGATGTTTTTAATTAGATGCTGCCCTCAAGACAATGAAAGCAGCCACAATACCACTTTACATGTGGACAGCCCTCTATAGTTTACAAGGTATTTGCATCTAGAAAATCTCATTTAATCCTCCAGATTATCCAGGGGGTAGGTATTTTCTTGCAAGTTTTACAACACCTGTGTCTCACATAACAAGTAAGTAGGTGTCAGAATTATTAACACCAAAGAATGGAGTAAATGAAGTCCCAGAGAAGGGGGATTCAGCCTCTTCCAGATTCTCAGCTCATTTCCTTTAAGCTTCAGGGGCAATTAACTAATGATCTTTGTTATTGACAAAGTCAGATAGGAGAAACATTAATCAAAGACAAAGGCCTCAATTAATGGTCAGGGCTGCTGTATGTGATTATGTAGGTTGTGCCCTGTGCTAGGGAATCTAGCTGAATGGGCATGAGGGCCAAAATTCAGTTCACTTTCTGCTCCTTAAACCATGAGCCCTGGTGGAGGTTTTGATTCAATGGCACAAAAGAGCATCTGCTCACCAGGCAGAACACCTGTTGGATTGCAATTACCCAGAAGAGGTTCTTTTGCTAATTCTCACAAGGGCTAGCAGGAGGCCCCACTAAAAAGCAATTTAGAGCAGTTTTCAAATGGCTATTTCAAGCCCTCCTCTCTTCTCCTCACCTTTTTGCCTATCAATGCTTGGCTGATTGTGACATCCTTTCAATTTGGATTTACCAGGTTGTTGAACCATTTGGGGATTCCTCTAAATCCCTCTAAATTGAGAATGTTTCACTACAATATGATGTTGGGCAAATAGGACACAGAATTGTCTTCTCTTGTTCTTCTAAAATTAAACACCTTATTACTATCTTATTGCCAGGGATCTGGCTCGCCTCTCCTCATCTATTAAAGATTATTGTACACAGAACAGCAATAATAACAATAACAATAATGGCAATAGCTAATATTCATTGAGAGTTTAATGTGTGTTAGTCATTTTGCAAGGGCTTTGTATGGACCATCTCATTCAGTTCTTCTAACAGCACTTTAAAGTAAGGCCAGTTATTATTAACACACTTCATAGATTAGGCTTCTGAAGCTAAGAGAGGTTAGGTAATGCGTCCAGTGTCGCAGAGCTAGTGAATGAGAAAGCCAGGATATATATTCAGGTTGGTCTAAAGCAGTGCCTCTCCAACCTAGATGTGTACCAGAATCCATTGTTATAACACAGGTTTGTTTGGTTCCTCCTCTGGTTTCTGACTCATGAGGGCTGAGGTAGGGCCCCAGAATTTGCATTTCTAACCAGCTCACAATGGTGCTGATCTTGCTGGTCCAGAGGTCAGACTTTGAGAACTACTGGTTTAATGAATGACTTAATGCTCTCCTGCTTCCTGTTCACTTGAGGTATAGCCCTAAAGCACACTCACTTGATATCCTCTGTTGGTGTACAGTGTATAATTCAGCCCTTCCATATTTCTTAACTTTTGGGCCCACTGATGAAATTCTTTTAAGTGCCTCAAGGTACCAGGTGTTGGTCCTGTTTTCCTCCAGTAATAACAACGGTAATAGTGGTACTACTGGTCAAGAGCCTCAGTGCTAATAAGGAACTTGGCATGGGCTTTGGTGTAGAGAAATGTCAGTAAATGTCAATGGTGAAAGGAAAACTTGCTCTCATGGGCAAGGTTTACTATCAATAATGATAAAATTATCGAAGACTCGGCACAAGAGGAAATCTCTAAACCTCTAGGCTTCCTGCATTTAAGAGGCCTTATCTGTATAGCAGTTTAGGAAAAGCTGAAGAAAACATATGTTGTGTGGTGTGGAGAAATATTAAAAGCTTATCTCTGGGCAGCACTGTGCAGGCAATAAATGCACTTGCATTACCAGTTTTACCTGGCATGAGAAAACACACTCGGCTGCAGATGGGATGGCCCCTGCATATAATCTGTGTCTGCCATCATGCTGAGTTACTTGTATCAGTTCAACACTGGTGGCAGGAAAGTAAATGGTGGTCTTGGGACTTAAGGCTAAAAAAGTGTTGGGTGTCCTCAGCTGATGGAAACAGCCACATATCACCTAGTGTGGTGTTCTTAAAGTGTGCTTTGAGAGCCTCCTGCACAGAGTCACACTGGGTGGGTGGGGGTGTGTGTGTGCTGGGAAACATGCAGATTCCAGAGCCTCCCACTCTCTTCTTATGTATCCATTCTATAGACTGGGTGGGAGAAAACTGAGAGGAAGCATGTGAATCTACTTCTGTTATAGTATGGCCAGATATAGGAGTCCTGAGAGAATGTGAGACTTGGGGTAAATCACACTGCATGTCCCCCTCCTCCTTGGACCTGCTTCCCCTCTCTTCTCTCTCAACATTTGTTGAAATGAATGTTAGTTGTAGGACATGTCACAAAAGGGTTAAAACGAAGAGCAAGGATGGTAGAATGGAGTGTTGCTGTGGATTGGGAGCAATATGGTGGGCTCCTGATGTGACATGACCCCTAAGGATTTCTTCAGCAATAGCTAGTGGAACCACTTCCATTTCACAAGGTGTGACACTGGGCCCACTTTCTTCCACCGAGGACTCTATAGCCAGTAATCTGTGAGAAATCAAAAATTGAATTTTGCCTTCTGAGAAACACAGTTCCTCTTTCACAAGGAAATGGTGGCCAAAGTATTTTAATATACGAAGAGAAGTATAAGTTGAATAACTTAGTAATTGGCTTCTCCTGGAATTCTGTGACATTTCCTATTGCTAGTGTTGGGGGTGAAAGAGAGGGTCCTGGACAGCCTGCCATATTGGGTACCACAATATGAAGATAGCTGCTAGACAGCTCATGTGGGGTCCAGGTAGCTCAGAGAAAGTGCTAGTATCACATCCTGGTGAGATGGGATCTCAGGAGGATGCATCTTCTGGTCCTTGTTTTGGCTATCAAGTGGCTTGACTATTAACAATCAGGATGGAAACTTACAAATGAGTATTATTCAGTGATCACCTGTTGACTCAGGCCTTGTTTAGGATTTAAGGTTTCTGCGTATTAATCCTTTCCTGACAACAACTTACAGGTAAAATCCCATTTTAATGAATGTAATTTTGAGATAATAAAACTATTTAGTAAAATCATCATGTAGAACAGATGCATCCACAAATCCCTGTTCATGAAGCACTCAATCTGTTAAATTAAGTGGCTGTTGTTTGAAGTCAGTATTGATGCTTTCTATTTTAATGCGTTCAATGGTAAGGTCTTGTCATGCAAAAAATAGAAGAGCCTGTGATCATACCCTCTCAAGGCTTCCATTTCCTCATCTGGAAAATAATGGGAAAATGAGAGGGGCTAGATGGTCTCGAAGGGTCTTTCCAAGTTGTAAAAATTCTGACTCTTCATCTGAAATGTCCTCAGTGGGGGCCAATGGAAGGAAAACTGAGAGGAGAGACTCAGGTTGAGGGTTAGGTATTGAGCATCGTTAATGACGCTCAGTATTAAAGACAGGCATGGTAGTATTCACCTGCCCAGCAAATACCCTTTCAAACTGTTCCTCCATACTAACAATCCAAATACACCATGTCTCACTTCTCAAGGAACTCACCAAAGACATCCAAGTGCACAAACTCTCTCAGTTCTTCAGACATCCATCTAAACAATGTTTATTGGGTGCACCATATGTACCAGGATATGGAGATGAATAAGACACTGTCCTTGACTTCAAGGAGCTGACAGTTTCATAGTAGAGGCTGACATAAACAAATTAGGGCAATAAATCTGGTAAGTGCCATGAAAGAAGTCAGTTCAGGGTGTGGTGGGGCTCTAAACCAGTGTCACAAGTTGGTGCCCTGGAAAAAAGTCTGTCAGATGGAGATTTGTGTGCAGGAAACTTATGGGGAAATGCTTTCAATGATAACACCTGTGAGGGAGAGAGGGCAGTAGGATTGGACACAGAGAAGACTCGAACTGTCATGCAATTACAACAAAGGTCTCAGCAGTCCCAATGGCAGTGCTGGAGCTGGGATGCCCTTCAGAGTTGACCAGAATTGAAGTAAGCTCTCTTGGCCTTTATGCCTCCATGTTGATGAGCCATTGGTACAGGATGACACAGAGAAAGGGATGCAGATGACAGTAATAGTTTAACAGCCAGACCATCAGGGGGAGGAAAAAAGGCCCTGATTTGTAATGCTTGCTGATTTCTATGGTGTAATCACTCCCACCATGCCCAATTTCAAGCTACCAGTATGACATTATAGCTTACAAAAGCCCTGAAAATTTAACCACAGGCTCTTGTGAACCAGCAAAAGCCGACTTAAGCACACTGCTGAGGGCGTGTGACCTTGGAAGAGATGGCTCTCATTAGCTGAAGGCAATTCCTAGGGAGGCATCAGCTATCATGTCCTGACACCCCCAGAAACTAGGAGAATGAGTGCTTTAGTCTTGAAGGGTGCATCCGGGTGACACACCACAGCAACCATGACGCAGTGCGTATGTTGAAGTATTTCCACCAACAAAGAGCACTTAGTTCTCTTTAACATTTTTCATCTAGTGAAATACTTTTAATACTCCTTTAAGTATATAAATGGAATTTTATCTCTATGGGGTAATTCTGTCAAGTCATCTAATCTCTGCTTTTGCAGAAAAAAGCTGCCAATACCGACCTGCTTGCTAAGGATATTGTTGGACAAACTGGCCAACTAACCGAGACACCTGAATTAACTCTTTTTTTCCCCCTCAACGGACTAATCTGACCAAATGGATTCATGTTTAATGATATTAACCAAGTTTAAGGAGTTAGAGGCCTTTGGTTCTAGTTTCTCTTTCTAAATCCAACTCTTGCCTTTCCATCCTCTCTGGCACTCTGTTTTCCCATTATCCAGAGAGAGGCTGTGAACAAGGGAGGCTAACTTCCTTGCATGGCTGATGAACTAGCTCCAAAGATATCCCTAGAGTATTCAAAGGAAGGTTTGAGCATCATAGTACCTGTAGAACCGCTTAGGGTAATTATATTGAATGGACTAATGATTATCTGAAAACTCAACTTACGTGCTGTGTGTATGTGGTGTTTAAATTAACTTCATGACTTACTAGTTATACTTTAAAAAAACAATGAAGAGTACCAGCTCTAGCTCAAAGGGAAACTTTCTGGGGGTATTTAACAAGTGTAAAGAAGGTTTATGAAAATCGATCAAACAAATATGTAAATGCTAAAGACCCGTCATTGAATGTAGTAAAGCATAGTCAGTTCCTGAGATTAAAGGTTCTGTGTAAGCTGTATAATTAATATTTACCAAAGGCAACAGGACCTTTGCTGTTCTTCAAGGAGCTCAAAATCTTTGCCAGGCATTATCTAATTAAACTACTCAGTGTACCTGTGCATTGGAATCTACATTTCAAAGACGTGGGCACTGGAGCACAAGTGGGCTTAAACTAAATTCATTTAGCATGCCAAGGGCGAAATTGGATATAAGACTTTCAGTCTCATGACCCAGCTGCCATTCTTCAACCGTGGCCTCCTCTAATGCACTCTATTCTAGCATAGCCTTGCCAAACAACATAGTTTCATATGTCTAGGAAGAATTAAATTGAGTGCAAAGTAATTCCAATTATAGGGAAGTTTTAGATTATTAAAAGTTGAACATATCACCCATAATATTAATAGCATTTATGGATGAGTGAGTTAGTGCCATTCCTTGTCTATGGTGGCCTTGGTAGGAGTGGGATCAGTTGGTCAAAATCTGTTGGAATGTATGTTTGTAGGATGTGGACAATAAAAAGGCACAGTGGCTTGGAAAATATCTCTCACCCTCTCCTTCCAGGCTTCTTATTCTTACGTATAATCATAGTTACTATTTATTGAGTGCTATGTGCTAAAACAATTATACAAATTGCTCCTTCAGTCATCACTACCACATTATGAAGCACATATTTGTTATCTCCATTTTATGAATGAGGCAGAGAGAGGTTAAGTCATTTACCTAATGGTATACAGCTAATAACTGGAGATGTTAGGATAAAAACTTAGATCTTCCAACCCCAAAGCCTCTTTGTTATGTTACCTCTCACTTGCTGTATTTGTTCTAGTTCCTGTATAGTATTAGGCTCTGCAGCCTGTAGACATATGTATCTTATCACCTAACCCAGAGTCCCTGAACAGGCCAAAGCCATAGCTCAGGGCTTTAACATCTTGCTCATCTTGGAGGCATAACACAGAAATCATTTCCAAATTGTTTATAACACAGTTATTTATTTCTCCCAATCTGTAATTCTTGGTACCATGTTTTTCTAACATATTGCTGCTATAACCTCCCTGCTTTGTTGGTTTCAGTAATCATCATGTGCATGCATTTGGCCTTAATTGGGGCAGAGACTCAGATGCATCTCTTGGAATGGGCTCATGATCTGAAAATGACTGATGGAACCTATGTCTTTGTTCCCTAGGATGCTCTGCTCTTCAGTTAACCGTATAAGCAAGCATACCCACTACCATATCCTGAGGAACACCCCCAAACTGTAAGAAGCCTATGATGCTGTGTTGACCATTACAGTGGAGTCCCCAAGAAAAGACCTACCAAACCTACACAGAGACAGCAGCTAGAGGTGAAATTCCCAAGAAGCTGGAGTCAGATCAAGTAAGTGCAGATTCACAGGTTATCATGAGCAGAGAACAGAAAAAATCAGGAAGGTAAATATTTTTCCTATCAAAAGGCTCTATTCCATAGGAAACCCAATCAACAGCAGGAGACTGCACACAAATTAAAAACACTTTTTTTTGTTGGTGCAGAAAACATTTATAAAATAAATACACATCGTTGGAAAGTGTGTTTTTTCTTCAAGCAACCCACAATGACAGCATATAGTCATGAAGAATAAATAAAACATATTTAAGAACAGGGAAACAAAACTTTTAACACATACTAGTGCTGTATGAGGTGGTCCAGTAAAGATAAGTCTTGTTTCTGACCCAAGCTCTGGGTCAATTAAACAGTAACACTGGTATATTAGAATATAGTACCATTACTATTGATAAAGCTGGTATTGGAGAATGTGGCTTCTGTCTGTTGGCATTCGAGCTTCCCAACACCGAATCTGAGGATTAATCAGACTTCTTTATCCAGTCACCAGCATTGCTGGACTACCACATTCCTACCCAAGGGCATGCCTTTTGTAAATTGTACAGCCTGGAGGAGCACAGTGAAGTGTGGTCCCTATAGGTAGCTCACTCTCAAGAGAAAGAAGTTAGGAGGGGCTGTGCTGCACATGCTTAATTCTCCTTCCAAACTAACTAGTCAGATCAAGTCACTCCTCCTTTCTGCAAAGGAATGAGTAAGGGGGTGAAGAGAGGTCAGGTATTTTTTACTAGTAGAGCTATCTCTGTATAAAAAGGAATCATCTGGAATGGGGAACAATTCCTCCCTTCTAATATACAAGAAATAATATTTATATATGTATAGATGATGAATGTATATATTAACATATTTCATATTCAAATCACCTCTGGGCTAGAGCAAGGAAAAGGAGTGGGGAGAAGAAAGCAGAGGAAAGAATGGAGAGCAAAGGCAAAACCAAAAATGAAAAATCCAGAGAAGGCAAGAAGCATGAGAGGAAGATAGGAAGGCCAAAGATGTCAGTTGGTTTAAATATATAGGGGGGTTCTTATAGGTTGGAAACCAGCTGTAGAAGACAGTAATTTTCAGAAGTATTTAGACTGACACCTACATATGTTTAAAATTGCTAGCATTTGCTAACCTACTGTGTTAGTTATAATGCTTCTGGCTACAAGTAACAGACAAACTCAACACAACATGGCCCAAGTAATATTTTTGTCCCCCAAATTTGAAGGTATGGGAGCTCCAGGGTCAATTAATTCAGCAGTTCAGCGATGTTAGCAGTGAACAAGGTTCTTTTCATCTTTCCACTTTATAAGCTATAAAATGCTAACTTGCCCTCACCATCTGGTTGCTTTCATGGTCTCAAGATGGCTGCCACAGTTCCAGACATCACATACAGGCAGAACTGTCTACAGATGAAAATGGGGGAATATCCTTCTCCTGTGTCACTTTTTAGGAGTGAGGAAATCTTTCCCAGAAGTGCCTCAAGCAGACTTCTCCCCACTTTCCTGGTCACAATTGTGTCGTTACCCATACCTGAACCAATAATTTAGAAAGAGGGATGAGACCATTGTGACTGACCCCATGGCTGCTGGAAAAGTATGAATAAAACTGGGACTCTGTTAGCAAGGAAGAAGGCTGTCAGATAGGCAGCTGATTGTGTCTAACACTCATATTTCTCATGATCTTCTCCTTTTTATTCATTCTTTTTTTCATTGTTCTGTGGTCTGCTTCTCTCTGAATAAGTGATTCAGATGAAACTTAGGTTTACTTCTCTTTCTGTCCTGAGTATTGATAGCAAAGATTTCGCTGATTATTGTTCTAATAAAAAAAATTGACCAGCAGAGATATTAACAGTGCTGGTTTTGAACTTTATTGCCACCAGTATATTTATAATAAATCTTTTAGGGCACAAATATTTAACTGAAAATAATTGGATAATATGGTCAAGAATTGCAAGAATCCCTCAAATTGCTAAGGATTGTTGCTCAAACCAGTTGTTTGGTGTATACCAGCAAGCAACCAGATGGTGAATTTTTAGACTTTATAGCCAATAATATTGCATCCCAGAGATACAGACTAAGTCATCTTTCTACTTTAATTACAGGATTGAGGGAAGGAGAAAGGCGTGTGTGTGTGTATTGTGTATATATATGAGCAGATATTTTGATACAAAAAACTCAGATTTTCTGCTCTTAATATTTGTTCCAATCTTTTTGAGCTTGTGGAAAACATAAGCTCATTAAAGCAAAAAAAAAAGATGAAGATGCCATTAGCTTGGTTGCTAGGCAGCCTGCACTCTGCTTTAGACAAGGAAATAGAGAGAGCTAAAACAAAGAATCCAGATCTTATAAAAAAGCTTGTTTGGATGCGTTTCCACTCCCACTTTGCCGGTGCCTAAGATTTATAACCAAAGAATGATAGAAGGATAAGACAATTACCTTAACATCTCTGATAAACAAAACCCTTTTTTCCTAAATCACCTTTTTGAAAGGTGTTTTTGAAGGCAGCTGGTATAGCAGAAAAAGCATATGATAAAGGAGCTAGACAAACTTGAATTTAAAGCCTAGCTCTCAGTCTTACTAGCAGTGTGTCCTTGGGCAAATTACTTAGACTTTTAGGTCGCAGTTTTCCCATCTATACAATGGGTTAGTGATCTACATTTTCTAGGGTTGTTGTGAAGAGTAAACAAAGTAATATATGTAAATGACTAGTAGCATGCCTGGTTGACAGCTATCCTCCTTTCCATATTTTCTCCATTGGGGCCAGGATGACCTTATTAGTTGATGGTGACCTAATATCTAAGTTACAATCTGACTTCAGCTTCCTACTTTCTTGAATATTTTTGATTACTGGCAGAGAGTCTCTCAGTAGTTCTAGCTTTCAAAATTATTTCACTTTCAGAAATCCACATAGTACTTGCTAAGATCAAATTATTTAGTTCGATGTTTGCTTATCCATGGACTCCTGTTATTTTTTTCCCTATTTAGTCAACAGATCAACAGCTATTTATTGAGCACCTGCCATGTGCCATGCACTATGCTGAACTCTAGATAGAACAATCAACAAGACAGGACTTTTGTCAATAGTGTGTTGGCACCAGTTCAAAAAACTAATTTTGTGCATCTTTTTCCCAACTCTATATTTAGTGGCATCGTGTTTGTAGCTTGAAATCAGGCACTGGGAATATTTACACCACGGAAATTGGTAGTTGCTACAAACCAGAGCTTTATTCCTCCTCAGGGAGCTGTTGTTAAATGTTTACTAGTTCATAACTTGTTCGTGCTCTTATGGGGTTTAAATTCTAGTGAGAGAGACACATAGTAAATGAATAAACAAATGGATGAAAAAGATGACTGTATTTCTCCCTTTCCCAATAACTTCCAGTGGAATTGAAATTTCTATATATAGGCTACATTGTCTATGGTGGTGGTTTGCAACCTCTTTTAATTTATTCCCTTGCTTCTTTAAAAAGTAAAAACAAACAGAAGATTATAAAAAAGATGACTGCACATAATTTAAAAGTCAAGAAATGCTAAAAAGTTTGTATCAACAACAAAGTAGTCCCTTGGTCTCCCTCCCACCATTCATCAGAAGCAACCACTTTCTTGTCTTTTAACTCTTTATTCTGGTATTTTCCTCTGTGTTTCTAAATACCATACTGCTATGGGTATCTCTTGAGTAATCAATTTTGAACCTTATTTGTTGACTCCCCATTCTAATTGTGGATTGTTAGCTCTTATATACTTCCTTACTCTTGTTCAAACCCTCAATATAGTCATGTTACAATTTTTAAATTCATGTTTAGTATTTTTAATATTATGCCTATTTAAACATCATCCATTATTGATTCATATGGTATTCTATGGTAATAATTCATTTCATATACAATTTTTGATTCTTACTGAAGTTAGTAATTGCTTTATTTTAAATTTGTTTACCTTAATTTGAATTTCTAGGTTTTTATGCACTGTCTGGTAGAATTATAGAATCTTCTCAAAACAACTTTATACATGGTAAAACCCACAGATTCTTTATCAATTTCATTTGTTTTTCCTGGGGCTCTCTATCATCCTATTCCAATTTTAACTTGTTGCTCCCTAAGGTTGCTGCACATCTGTTATGCTAGGATCTCCCTTCTCATCTCCCTGGAATTTTCCTTTCTCTTTCTTCTGTATGGATCCACTGTTTCATGAGTCTCATGACTCCCATTTTCTTAGTTTATGTCCTCATTTTGGTGGAGCATGTCCTTTAGTAGCTTCTGAGAAAGGTATACAGGAGGTCAATTTTTGAGATTTTGCATGTCTGAAAGTCATTATTCTATCTTCACTATTGATTGATAGTTTCACTGAATATATAAATCTAGGTTGAAAATAATTTTCCTTCAGTAGTTTGAAGACATGGCACATGATTTTCTCATTTCCATTGTTGGTATTGAGAACGCCAATGTCATTTTTATTTCTGATCCTTTGATTCAACCTGTTTTCACTCCTCCCCATTCTCTCAAAAACTTTTGAGATTATCTCTTTATTCCTGATGTTATGAAATTTCATGATGATGTCTGGGTCTTTGACATGTATTACGCATGTATTTGGTGGGGCCTTTCAATTTCATTCTACCTGGGAAATTTTCTTATATTACTTATTTGATAATTTCCTCAACAATATTGCCTTTCTTCTTTCTGGAAACATCTTTCTGGAAGAAGATTGAGACTCTCATCATTAAATATGAAGACATTAATTTAATCACTCTTTTATGTGGCCTACCTAACTCTCACCTTCCTTTCAGTCAAGTGTCCTAGCTCTGGTAGAGGAGAGTATGCTGGATGTCTAACTTTTCCTTGCACAGACTTTCAAACAGCTCTCTCTTTTTTAATAATATGTGGGGCCTCTAATTCCTAAACCTTTCTGGGATTTTCAGGAGGCAGATCTGCTTGTTGCTTACCAATATTCTCCTTTTCAAGTATTTAGGTTTAATGGCTCTACACTCTGCTAAGTCAGTTAGCTTTCCATCTTCATGTTTTGTGGTTAGGGTTACAGACATCTCCTAATATCACGAGATTGGAAGGTTTAGTGTTTCTGCTCCTTGTTCTTGTTGTTTGGGTGTGATTTTGAGAGGAGAAAGAGAGTGAAGAAAAAAATCTTTATTTCACTAACTTTAATCAGGAAGTCATGAAGGAAAAAAAGTTACAAAGGGTATATATCATATTCTTTTATTGGTTGCTTTGTCATAGTCCATTAATTTAACAAATATTTATTAAGCTCAGGTATAACATGGTGGTTAAGAGCATGGGCTTTGAAGGCAGACTGATGTAATTACTTAAATTTACTCTGTCTTCTTTTCATTAATTTTAAATTGGGAATAATTATGGTACCAATCTCATAGAGTTGTTATGAGGATTAAATGAGTTAATATACATGAAGAACTTGTCCAGAACCTAATAACCCCTCTATAAATGTTTATTATTATTAATGTTGTTATTTTTATTATTACTATGGGCTAGGTACTCTGTAAGTGATGTAATGGAGACTCAAATAAATATGAAATCTTTTCTCCAATGAAGGCAAACAGTTTTACCATTTCAGGGTGCTAAGGACACTGGGTCTAAAAGTGGGACTTTCTTACTTATTGATCACAATTCAAGACTAGGACAAGGACTTGAACACTATACTTCCATGATGGTATTACCAGAGCCCTGTGCTCCTATTCTGAAATGCAAACAAAAGAAGCTATCATGTATTCAGTACTTAGTCTGAACCAGGTAGTCAACATAAATGATCCCACTGAATCCTCAGACCAAGCTGACAAATTAGGTATTCTTACCTCTGTTTTATGGATGATGAAACAAGGCTCATGGTAACTTACCCAAGGTCATACAGCTGGCAAGTGGCAGAGCTGAGATTCCAGCCCAAGTCTGCTACCAGAACCTGACCATTTGACCACACATTAGCCTGTTTGAAAAAATTACAGCGACTCATGTCTGACGCTTTACTCAAACAAAATAGCATTACTAAGATCTAACACTTTGATTTGAATGGGCTTACTGGATTGTTTCTCCTCTGATATACGATGTGATAGGACTTTATGAGGACTGTGAAAAGAGAACAGTAAATCACAATGGAGAGATTGGGGGGTTGGGACACCAGTAACAAACTTCCTGATTTGATCTCAGGATGACTGGGCAAGGACTGTCACTTTGTACCTTTATATTTTGGCACAAAATAGACTTCTGAAATAAGGTTTATGTGCTTGCATTCTTAACTTTCATTCCCAATGTTTGTTTTCAATAAAACTTTATTGGCAACAGATGCATATTGCTGAAACACACATTTTGGATATTTTTTCCAAATGTGGACTCATTTGGCTAAGCAAAGGAAATCCTTTGTATTTCTCAGTAAGCCTTGGGGGACCCCTTAAGCTTCTGCCCCTACTGTTTTCCATTACCCTAAATAGGGTATCTGGCAGGGGGATGGTAGACTGAAGGGGCTGTGGTTAGGACCAAGCATTTGAGGACAGCACGCACCACACAGAATGTCAGAAAAGGTAGCCCACAGCTCACAGTGGCTACAGTTATCTTCATACCTCACAGTATATAAAATAAGGGTACTGTGTTCATGAGTATCATATCAAATGGATTGGGCTATTAGCCATCTCTTGGTTAAGTCCTAGGGTTGAGATCATGCATTATTGGAGGTACCACCTTTAATAACAGGAATTCAATTACCCATTGGTTTCTTAATTTCTGTGTGCACCTGACTCTGTCCAAATGTGATGCTGTGATTTTGTTTTTCAAGTGATGCTTTACAAGCCAGGTATATTTAAATGCACACTTTCAAGGACAAAATTCTTTAGAAGCCAGTTTTGTGTCTTTCAAGCACAGTAAATCTGAACTGATGATAGTCAACTTAATGACAGCATGAACCACTGAATTGAACAAATTCAAATCCCCTGCCCCATACCTTGTTCTCTTGGATATAAGCTCCAAAAAGCCTAAGGTAGAGCTGGCTAAAGTCTCTGAATAAAAATTAAGGGAGACTTTCAATTATCATTCATTTATTCATCATTCATTCATTCAGGTTTAGGTCTATACAGCAGGCAAAACCAAGAGACTGAGTCATCAGTTGTTTCACCCTTCTGGGCTGTGATGTCTCCAAGGTCATCTCTCTGGCAGAAGTTACTGCCAATCCTGTGTTACTTCTTTGGGGCAGAAGTCAGAAGCCAGGACAGAGGGTTGTGGAGCATGTCCTTCCTTCCCTTGTCTCACCCTCTACCTCTTCTTTTTCTCATTATTTATGCAGCTGCAACTAGAGACCTTTAGTGGCCAATGCTAAGAGAGTGTACCCTTGACTTATGGACAGGGCAGTTCCCACGCTGAAGGGCACAGTGGGTGAAACAGCAACACAAACCAGCTAGAACACAAATCCAGGCCCTCACAGAGTGGACATTTGTGACAGCCACTCTGTTGCAATGAGCACTGTTGCCAGAGCTATGATATTACCCTTAGCTTCAGGTGCCTCTACCATACTTTGTCACTGTGTGTGCACACATGTACATTTGCATGTGTATGTGTGCATGAGTGAGAGATATGTGGTGGAAGCGAGAGAATCCTGAAGAATGGCTTCAGGTTTCAGTCATCTTAAGCAGATGCTGTCAATCCCTTTTAACAGGAATAAGTCTGAGAGCACAAAGGGCAGTGTAGCTCGGCCAGCTGAAAATGCTGTGGGATGGGTCAAGTCAAAGGTGAGGGTATTTTTAAGAGTTTCAGTCTTTGCTTTTGGCTGGAGGTAGATGCAGTCTCTTTCCCGGAAGGCTCTGTGCGTTTCAAAACAGAATGCTAGCATTCTCCCTGCTTTCAGGGGCTTGCTGCTCTGTGGTTTTTTTATTCATTTGTTTTGCTAGTATAGATTTTATATTCCACCTTCCAGACTTCACTTACTGTCATAACCTACCAAAGCCCCAGAAAGCAGGCAGGCTCTTGCTGAAATCCTAAAGACAATCAAATGGAGCACCCAAGAATGTCAGGAGGGAGAGTTAGTGAAAACCCCTTAAGGGACCTCAGTGTGTACTAGGTAACTAAGGGTGGATGCCTTGGTGAGAGCACATGTCACCCATTCACCATGCCTATTGCTATAGTGTGCATTAAGCCAGTGGGGTGAACGGAGGTCACTGGAATAAAACCTAGGAGGCTGAAGTGCTGATTTCTGCTCTGTTATTAGTTAGCTCTCCTATCTGGGGCAAGGTTTTCGGCCTGAACAACTGGAAGAATGGAGTTGCTTTCCACAAAAGTGGAGCAAGAGGATTTGAGGTGAAGATCAGGAGTTCAGTTTTGGGTACAGTGAAATTTAACGTCCAAGTGTCAAAGTAGGCAGTTGGCTATGTAAGTCTGGGATTTATGAAAGAGGTTTGAGCTAAGGTATAAATCTGAAATTTATGGCATTTATGTAGCACTTATAGCCTTGAGATCAGAAGAGATAACCAAGGGAGTGAGTGTAGATAGAGAAGAGAACCAAGGACTGAGCTGCAGGGTATTCCAATGTTAAAAGGTCAAAAAGATGAAGAGGAACCCATAGGCCAAACAAAAATGTCTGCAAGCTGAATTTGGTCTCTGGACTAGACCACAAGTTGTGAAATTTCACAGGAGTTCACAACTAGAAGAGACCACAGCGAATATCTGTTTCAATCAAGAATGCTAAACGAAGAAATAGGAGACCTGGGATCTGTTTGGACCTGGGTGAATGACTTTGACCAAGCACTTGACTTCTTTAGTTCCTCTGTATCCTCAGTTCAGAGAGGAAACAAAGCATTTTGCTTATAGCTGTGGGTGTGTGTGTGTCAGTATTGCATGTCTGCATGTCGGCATGTGGGGGTATGTTTTTAAAGCTGTATTCTAGTGTTCACTTTCTCTGGGGAGCATGTGTCTAAGAGAATAGTCATTTTGCACTAAGACAGGATATCGACATGGACTGTGGAGACATGTTATTTACAGTCTTACCACACACACCTACCTCTCTAGTAGTGCCAGCAAAATGATTTTACTGTGCAAAATGCTCTGGTAATTAACCTGGTAAATTTCCTTTGCATGCCTCTTGTCTATTCCACACCTATTTTTTTAGTGCCCTTTATAACTCTAAATCATTTTCTTACTTTAGGAGCATAAAAATATATTGTGTATGGCTTGGTTTGCTCATAAAATTGTCATATTTGATATATTTAAAGATGTGAAGGCCTGGAGAAGAACAGAAAAATTCAGGGAAGAAAACAAGCAAGTCCTCAGAAACAATTGTTTTTTTTTTTTCCTCTGGGTCTTCATAGCTCTCCTCCACTCAGACATGCAGCCCATAATAATGAACACAGGCTTGGAATACACTCTGAGATTGCTCTAGGGTGACTAGGGCTCAAGATAATTGTAATTTTAAAAATAGGTTTCACTGTTGTTTGGAACCATCTACAATTCAATTTACTTTATCGCACAAGCCATGAATAATGCTATGAAAGAAAATGGACAGGCTAGTGCTGCCAGGCTGGTTCAGCATTCACGATGCATGCTGTTCTATGGATTCAAACAGTTGATAAGGACAGATCCAAATGGAAATGGAATTTCAGAGTATGTAATCCTGGACACCAACTGGAAAGAATGGGAACTCCATAGTACTTACATTGTGGACATGGAAATGGAGCTCCTACGGTTCAGGGGGACCCCCATTCACTTCCCTGGTGGCAGGCCCCCTTGAGCAGATGCAAAATGTTGGTTTGCAGAAGGAGGTAAGGAACAGAAAATCACTGGTAGTCAATTTGGCTCAGCTTGGGTTACAAGGGGAAACTCTTTAGGGGAAGGCATATTTTAATATCTGGAACACTCATAGAATCAGTCATTTGTTCTTAGGTGATGTAAACATCTTGGCACTCTATGTAGTTAATTTACAATAATGAGGACAATGAGAAGTACTTTGCAGCTTTGAATAATAATTCACAATTTAAAAACTGTGCCCATTCATTTTTAAGGGATCCTACTCCCAAAGAAGCTACTCTAATAAGCAGAAAGCATGAGTCTTCTCCTTGGTCTTTTGTAGGCTTTGACCTGTGATTGTTTCCATTGCTAGAATGATCACCTGTCCTTCCCTTGATGTCCAAATCCTGTCAATCAGGTCTCACTACAGAAATACCATATATACATACACCCTCTCTTCTCTGAACTTCCTTTGAACTAAAAGTCGGCACCTCACCCTCAGCACAAAATTGCTCTTCACTTGTTTCTTGTGTATTGATTGTGTCTTCCTCCAAATAGACTGCTCCTTGAGGGCAGGGACCATAGCTAATAATTTTTATGCCCCCCAACCACCCAGCACAATCAGTGTCCAATAAATACTTTGGTTTGATTGACTGATGGAACTCCACTAGCTCGTGGAAGAGGGAAACCCCATCAAATCTCTGAGAGCCAGAGGGGAACTTTGGAAGGATCCATATTATTCCTATGCAAGTGTACACTCCACCCTTCTAAAACCAAATGTATTTTCTTGAAAGGGACTTCAGTTTCTATTTTGCTTTAGCAACTACCTCTTCACCAGCATCATCGTATATTTTCCTATGAAATCTTAGTAATCCATTCAAATATTTAGATTTTGCAGAGGCCAATTTACATCATGATGAAAATACTAATTATCAAAAATAGACACACCCTTGAAGGACAGTGCTATGTTTTTCACCTGTAACTCATGAGGTCTATGGGATCCGGTGAATTAAAAAGGTCTTTTATTTTATGAAGGCAACATAATACTTACCCTTCACAGGTGAGAAAACATATTTATTCTCAAGACCAATATTGCTGTCCAACTTAAATGAAGGTACTCAAAGTTTTCCATTTGTGGATGTTTTCCTCCAAAGAAACACTCGGGTCAGTCTTAATTCATATGATTTGTTATTGTCAGAGTGGTGAGTGGTTTTGCTTCACAACAGAGAAATTGCTTTGTGTCCATAAAGTCAACAAGACAGACTGTGCTGTAGAAAAATGGAATTAAGTTAGGTAGATGTGGTTTCATTTTAGAGTCACCAGAAAGCACAAGGAGTCGCTCTGAGGTATATCATTTACAGCCTCTCTCTGATAACGCTATTCTTCCTCTTCCTCTGGCTCTCTGCAGGAATGACCCTGTCTTTGCTATGATGGCCTGCCTTGCTTTGCTTATAGATCTGCTATCCATTAATGGATTTGCTTACTTTATAAGGTACATTTTTTGTTCTTTTTGTATATAAAAATACAAGCCCATAATAGTTTTGTTAATATTGATTTCCAGGAAGTCATGTTTCAGTACAATTTCCTCATTACATGACCCACTGATTTTTTTTCCCATAGTGATTTGCCATCCCTATTGGCCCCATTTGGAGTGAAGTGTTTTCATGATGCCAAGAATAACTTCCTCAGCTATGTTGTCAGTGTTGTTGCCTGTGAGTAGACCTAGCTGTTGACACTATCGTGAAGTAAGAGAACCAGTATTTTAGGGCCTGTCTATACCCTATCTGTGCTCCCTTTTCTGCTGGCAATCTCCTAGAATCACCTCCTTCCCCAAATGGTATGGACTGGTATGAAGCAGACATGGGATATTTTAATAGGTTCTAAGAATTAGGCAGACTGGCTAGAACCCAAGATTTAGGAATAGTGGTACCAGTTCATAGGATTGTAGTGGGGATTAAATAAACTAATGTGAGAACATCTGGAACAATACCTGTCTCACAGTAGGAGCTCAACAAATGGCAAACCTCAGCTCCTTCTCAGGCACACAGTTCTGACGCTCCTGCTAATTGTTGGAGCCCAGGATCCTGACTTTGACACTCATACTACCGCTCCCGCTTCTCGTGGGTCGAGTCAACGCAATCACAGGAGACCTGGTTCGGTTTCTATCAGCTTTAAATTCTTCTCACAGGCGGGGTTACAGAAAGATTGCAGCTTGCACGCAGTCAAGTATGAGTTAGAGTTCTTTTAGTTTCTCTAGCTTCTTCCTCTCGTCTCTGCAGGCTGGCTCGCTGGCGTCTCCCTCCCACTGCTGGCGTCTCCCTCCCTCTGCTGGCGTCTCCCTCCCTCTGCTGGCGTCTCCCTCCCTCTGCTGGCGTCTCCCTCCCTCTGCTGGCGTCTCCCTCCCTCTGCTGGCGTCTCCTGCCTACTACTAGCTACCGCTATATATATGTTTCCTAGACCAATCAAAGGGGAGAGCATGTGTGACCTTTAACTCTATTGGCAACAGGGCGGAAATCATGCAGTGTGCACGAGCACGGAACTACTTATAAGGTCTGGGAGGGGGATTCTCCTATTCGGCAGAGCGGATGCGTGGGATGTGCCATAACCGGATGTGAGCACCATCTTAGAAGGGCTGGGGTCCGACCTCGGCCGCGGCTCGGACCTCTACACATACCTTTTGCCTAGGGTATCATATTCTATATTTTTACTATCCTTCTTTCTTGGACAAAAGTCCTAGCTAGTCATCAACATTGTCATTATCAAGTCTTTGTCTTCTCTCTCGGATCCCTTGATAGGTGACACACTACTTTGATGAATTAATTCAGGATCAGGGATAAAAAGCTGAAGATGGCTTAATATGATACCCCTTTTTTGTAATCTTCACATTTTAACACTTAGACCCTCCCTATATTAGGATGATTTAGGGAAAGTGAAATAAGAAATCAGCCACATCCCTCCCACTGAGGGAACCTTTCCACTCTACAAGCCACACTTTTGATGTCTCTTTGTAAGAGTGATCCTGACAACGATGTAACATACTTGTTAGGGAATGGAGTGGAGCCATTTTAGTAAGTTCCAAGAAAAATGTCTAGTGTATTAAGTAGCTGTGTAAATTTGGATAAGACACTAAACTTCTCTTGGCCAAAATTTCTCATTTGTAAAATGAAGGAATTGGATTAGATGATCTTTAAGAGTCTTCCAGCTCTGATAGTCTAATGGGCCTGTAAAATCCTGGATTGAAGCTATTGCAGGTGACTCTTAGTGTTTAATATGTTTGCATTACTGTGAAAACCCACTATTATTCAATCTCCCCAGTATTAGAAACTTGATAAAACCACACAGACTAGTAGGTAGCTTATGATTGTTAAAACACACTTGATAAAGACATTACTTCAAAGGAAACTTTTCATTTCTGTGACTATGACATATCCCCGCTCAGAACAGAAATTAAATGTCTTTAATTTAGCTGCTGCCAAAGAATAAAGTATTTAATTAACATCATTAGATACTTAGTGAAATTAAAAGCCATCCAATCAAAAAGCTTCCCCCTCTAGGGAGATTTGAGGAGTAATAGGCTCAGGCTACCCAACACCAAAACATCCCATGGCAAGGTGGAAAAATGGAGTCGTACAGCAGCCTATGCTACTTGTCAATCTCCTTCCCACCCTACCACTCTGCAGATGACTGGTGTCACTGGTCACTGGTCTTTCCCAGGGAATGGACTGGTTTTTTGGGCTTAGAGTGAGCCCAGTATGCAATTCTCGGGAAGGGAAGACAAAAAGAAAAAAATAAATCATAGGGGAGTTTGTTTAGAGCTCGTGGGCTGAAGAGCAAAGAAGACTGGATAGGAAAATGATTGGAGAGGCACATGATTGGAGACGAAAATGACTGGGAAGGAAAATGAGTTTGAGACAACTGGCATTTCAAGTGGTCACAGAAAACTCAGAGATGAGAGAGAGGCACATCGTTTCTCAGAGTCAGTTGGTCCTTGGTTCTTAAGCTAACAAAGCACAAAAGATGCCCTCTCTTTGCTGCCTTCCTCCTTCTCTGCCCACCACGGCTGCAATCAGAAGAGCTGAGCCGCTGATGAGTTTCTGTAATAGACGGTGATTACTTGCATGAGAGTGACTCTCTGTTCCTTCCTTTTCTGTGTGTTTTGATTGTTTTAAGTTTTTTTTCAGAAAGAAAGACATGCAAAGGACCCAACCACCCCAAAACAAAGGATTCTTTGAACTCCTCCTTTCTCCCTACTCAGAACCAGACTGACTCGTCTTTCTATAAAGCTCCCTCGTGCTTTGTAATACTAATGATGATAATGATAATAATGAGTCCTTATGCTTTCATAGTGCTTCATGCTTTCCAGAACACTTTCACATACACTATCTCATTTGAGTTTCAAAACAACTCTATAAAGCAGGAAATGCAAGAGTTATTACCCTGCTAGATAGATGAAGACACTGGGGCATGAAGAGGTTAAATTATTTATCCAAGGTCATCTGGCTAATTAATGACAGAATCTGTACTAAACCTCAGGTCTCTGAATTGGGAGTCCAGTTCTCTTCCTACTGGAATGTATTCTGTAGCATGATTATTTTTACATGTGTGCCTGCTTTAAGACAATTCACTACACATATGAAACAGATAAGTTAGGGAGTGATGTTTTACTTTGCCAAAAGATTCCTGTGCTCAACCCAAGAATTCACTACAAGGCTCTTTTAATTGTCTCTGCAGGACAGCAGCTCCCACAGTGATAAGGGACATATTTGTTGGCAGACAATTAGAAACACTTAATTGTTTGTTTATAAACCAGTGGAATCACTGAAATAAACTGACTGGGTCACTGGTACTTAAAGCTACAGTGACATTATAGACTTCGAGCAACTTGACAAAGCATTTTGATTCAGTGGTTGTTTTTTCCGCTCAAGCACTTGGCTTGAGGATAACCATTAAGGGGTTATGGAAAAAGTGAAGCCAAACCGTAGCTCTGAGTTCCTAAGACAAAACAGTACAAAACAATCACGTGGGCTGAAGCAAGGTCCCTTCCAGGTCTTTAACTTGCCTGGTTAGATCAACTGAGATGACCTACCTTGCTGTGTGGGTAGACATCATAAGCTTCTATGTGTCTAGTAATTGATTTGTAGGAAGTAATTTACATTCACTGCAAATTAATGGGCATGTTTGGAGAGAATCAGGTTTAAACTGTGTCTATGTAACGCTCAGACAAGAGACCAATTCAGTAAAAGAAAAAAAAAACTCAGCCAGCCCACTTGTTTGGAATCATGTAGACAAAGCGACCAACTGATTGAATTTTTCCACTTTTCAGCCTGTTGCTTTGGCAACGCATAGATGCAACTTTGCAAGATAAGTGGTCTTGTGGGCAGAAATCTGGGCCCACAGCCAGGGACCAAGGATTCAGGACCCAACTCTGCCTCCGGCTAGGGGATCTCTCACACAATTTGCTTAATTTTGTTTTCTTTCTTTAATATGCTTTTGTGTCTATAAAATAGAGATTAGTAAGTCTTGGCCCTGGTATTATTAGAATATATACTATGGCATATGAGAAAGGGTGTTGTGTTCTTTAAAAGTACTCAGAGGTGTTTTGAAAGTGCTTTTGATGTGGGGTCACCATGTTATTAGTCTGAGATACCAACCCCATGCAATACCCTCACTCCTCCCTTTTGATGCCCCTTTAATAGCATTTTCTTTCTTTCTTTAATTAAGGTATCTTTGATATAAAATCATAAGAAGGTTTCACATGAGCAGCATTGTGGTTACTACATTCACCCGTGTTATCAAGTCTCCCTCCACACCCCATTGCAATCACTATCAACATAATAAGATGTGATAGTCACTACTTGTCTTCTTTGTGCTATACTGTCTTCCCTGTGACCTACCTATATTGTGAGTGTTAATTATAATGCCCCTTAATCCCCCTCTCCTTTAATAGCATCTTCATTTTTCTCTTTTGGTCTTTGTAACTCTGCAAGTTGTGAGAAGCCAGGATTGCCGCATTCCTTCGCTGTGGGTACTATGGGAAAGATCCAGTGAGGTTATTCTCTTGATTATCTTGTGTATTTTTAACTTCTATCACAGGGCAAATTCACCCTGGGTCTGCAAAACACGCAGCCTGCTGTGACCCTCTGATTTAATGCCTGTTACAGGTGTCATATAAATAAAATCCAGTTGATTAAAGGACCCAGCAGAATTCAACTGACTTTTAAAGTATGTGACGCTTATCAATCCCCACTTTGGCAGTAAGGTAAGGAGCATCGCTTTGTCTTGTTGCACTGTCTAATAAGGTATCCACAAGCCACAAGGAATGATTGAGCACTTGACATGTGATCAATGGAGACTGAGATGTGCTGTAAGAGTGAAATACACACTGGATTTAGAAGATAGTACAAAAACATGTAAAAAATCTCATTAAACTTTTTAAAAATAATGACACATGTCAAGATGATAATACTTTGGCTATACTGGGTTAAATAAAGCAAATTATTAAAATTAGTCTCACCTGTTTCTTTTTATTTTTTAATTGTGACTACTAGAAAACAGCATTATATGTGGCTCATGTTATATATTTATTGGATAGCGCTGTCTTCAAGCAGTTTTGTAGAAGTGAGGCAGTGCACTTTGAGGATAGTGCAGCTCTGGCTTTGTAGAACCCTTCCTTGTATATTTGGATTCAACATTTGAGTGCTAGTTCCTCAAGGGCAGAGGTAGATCTCTATTTAAAAAAAATGTTAATGCATAGCACCTGACATGGTGCTGATAGGTACTCGTAAAAGTTTGGTGAATGAATCAACTAGTGAAAGATAGTTGAATTTCACAGGGATTTTCTTCTGGTTGTGATTGTGTTATAATTGGTGATCTTCACTGAATGTGTTATAATTGGTGATCTTCACTGAATGTGTTATAATTGGTGATCTTCACTGAATGCCAGCTACTATGTCCGGGCCCTGGCCTAGGCTTTGTGAGAGATGGCATGTAGTCCCTGCCTTCAAGGGGATTCCAGTCAAGTGAGAAAGACAAATTATACCAACCCAAGAGAGTCAATAGATGCCATGTTGCCCATAAGACACCAGAATATGGTAGAACTTCAGAGGAGACAGATCTGTGGAAGAAGGCTCCTCAGAGACCCAGCACCAAAGCTGGATCTTAAAGAAGGAAGGATAGAATTTGTCTCGGTCACAGGTCACAAACTGGTAACCACTTTTGTTTGAACCTTATGGTTATAAAAATAGTAGCCAGAGTAAAAACCCCAATCAACACCACTTTTCACCACATGAGTGAGAAAACGAATAGCAACAGGGATTAATAGCCTTATAGGGAATGTTCTTTTTATTTTTTACTATTTTGGCATAGGTGGAAAAGGATGGCATTACCCTAGAAGAACATAGCTCTTGGCTTCCAGACCCTTTTGGCATTTGGCTTGTATCAGGGATTCTGATGGGAAAAGATAAGGAAAGCATACATTTTCCTTAATTGCTGTGTAGTCACAAACTTGCAGCTGGCTGTGTCTAATCAGTCAAGAAGCTAAGCCAAGAATTCCATCCAAATGGAATGTCTGAAAGTGTAAACTCTTGGTGAATATTAAATTAATTCAGTCTAGAAAAATTGGCAGGTCAGTAGAAGTCAGGCCAGGAAAGGAAGTGTTTAGAAGAAAGTGAAGCTGATGCCCAAATGTATGTGGATTTTGGCAGATTCTCTTGCTTTCTCCTTTGCCCTTCATGGCGAGGTCTGTATCTCAATAGAAAGATCTAGGTGTTCCTGCTGAGATGTGAAAATAAAGAACGAAAGGGAAGTAGATTCCTCTCTGGCCTTGCTCTGTTAAGGGGAACTCAGGTTTATGCAAGGGTTATGTGAAGAGTCATGTTTTACAACTTGTCTGAATCTTGAGCTGTTGGAATTTCAGCACATTATGGGCTGGGTGTAGTTGGCTATTGCCTTGGAACTTTGTGATAGGCTTGTCTTGGTAAAATGAACTTAACTCAGGGCTAAATCAGTGATCTTCAGTTTATCAAAGACCATTGTGAGCAGCATATGTGAAAGTACTTAAGGTCCATTTTTATTGGCAAGCAAGAGTAAAACAAAGCATGGAGTGATAGAGATAACACAAGATCAGGCAATATAATGTCTACATTCTTCTTCCAGTCCCTATATCCTTCTCTAGGTCTCTGTTTCCTCATTGTGGGGGTGGGGACTAGCCTGACAATACCAAATGTAACTGCTTGCTCTGAATCGCTAGAATTCTAAGAAAGAAACATTTGGAGACAGAGAAGAATATGAGGAACCTGTTGACTATTATTTCTTTATGTGAAATAAGTAGGTTGGTTTCCTTGAAGATAAAGATGTTCAATTTTAAAGGTTAACACAGATTGCAGATATCTCTTCCTCTTGTCATTCAACCGTGTACCTCCCAGCCCTCTCTTGCCATACTTATGTGTACAAGTTAACAATTCAAGGAACAGGGAATTCGGCCCATTTAAGCATCAGACTTATAAATCATGGGCAGATGATCTACTCACTCCATACCATCTTATTGCTTTCTGGGATACCTTCTGTCATTAATCTTGCCTGCATAAACAAGGATGCCACTTAAGATGGTATAACAAAAAGCCAGTCCTGAGAGTCAGAAGAGTAGGATTCTGTCTGAGTTCTGCTACTGATTTTTTTCAAAATGTCAGATTTTTATCTTTCTCTCATTTTTGTCTATAAAAAAGGGTCCCAGATTAAAGTTTGACTGGTGTTCTTCCTTGCCCTCCAAATCTATGACTCTAATTCCCTCTAAGAGATGGAAGTACCTACAGACATTTACCTTTCTTTTGTAGTGCATGGAGGTAAAGCATGGTACCAAACCTAGCCTTTAAAAAAATAGTGAATATTAATCAATCTCATGTTTACAGAGTTCAACTTGTATAGTTACTTCTTAGGCAAATAAAAGAAAAAACCCTAGATAAGCACAGTATCGATACCATAGCTCAATGCTCTGTCCTAGATCATAAAATTTTGTTCATAAGCTTTCCTTCTAATGTTTTCACAGAAAGGAAGTCGTGCCAGTGCAAGCTTCCAGATCATCTCAGAGGTCCAAAGTGGGAGGTTCCCAAGGCTCTCCTTCAGGGAGTCTAACTCTAGTTACCTATGAAAAGTCCAACATAGCGATTTATGAGGTAGGATATCCAACAGGTATCTAACCTGCTGCCTTCTTGGGTTTTAAAATGAGTTGGTGACTTAAGACTTAGTCTTTGGACAAAAATACTGAGGCTTTTGGTAAGTCTTTCCTTTTTGTCTGTTATACACTTATGGGCTTGTTTGGATGGCATTTTTGACACTCATATTCCTTAGCAATTAATCTACTTCCCTGTAACCTCTTTGATCTTTCAACTCCATTCATTTACTATGCATGTGGAAAAAAGCCCATGAGACCTTAACACTTAACTGTTTCACTCATTCTAGAAGATACAGCTATAATAATAGAAGAAATGACTTCCTGAGCCAGCTGTTTGTGATGGGATGTCTAGAGACAGGTTTGTGTAGAGTACAGTTTGGGGCAAATTCTCCCCTTCAAATTCTAGTTGTTCTTCTTATACTTGTTATCCTCCGGTATTATTACAATCTTTTAAAAATTATTCACTTATTTCTTTTTCACAGCCTGTACTGCTTCTTGGATTAACAAGTTACCTTCTGCTGTGTAAAATCGAATTCTTTATTATTTCACTTAAATTTCTGTTTCTTAAGGTTTAAGAGGCCACCCCTGACCCCTTGTTCTAAGGTACTGGAATTTGGCAACCAGAATAAATCTTGCATCAGTTGGAGAGATGGACTGTTTCTTCTCAGCAGTAAAGAGTTAAGCAGGGGGTAAAAGGGAAACTAGATTGCCTTTCTGTCCCTCTTAAGTGAGGCCTTCCCACTGTGGTTTCCTGGTTTTGTTTGAAGAAATACCCAAAAGCAGCAAACATTCTCAACTTCAATAGTAACTACTAAGTAAGTTCAGAACAGGGCAGATTAAGTTTTCAGATCGTCTACCACAGTGGATTTTCCAAGTGAATGCTCTCCTCCATTGGATATGTAATTGACAGGGGCCTAAAAAACCAAGACCGGCATGGTATATATTTGCTCAGTATACCTGAATGCTTTGACTTAAATTTGTGGCAGGAAACCTCCGTATCTTGCCTTGGACTTAGTTTAATTAAAGTGGAGATTTGCTTCGAATGTAAACTTGAGGTATTAGGGAATTGACAACTCTACTCTCTCAAAGACTGGAGACAAGATAATTATATAACTTGTAAAAGTCAAATGGAATGGGCTAATGGCTTTAAAAATGTATTGACACCTGTAAGATTCTGAAGTAAATCTCAGTAACCTAAGGCAGTGTCTTGCTTTCTCATCTGTAAAATGAAGGGTTGAACTAAATTCTTAATTTTGGCTGCTTATTAGACTCACATGGGAAACTTAAAAAAAAATCTATGCCCAGGCTCCACCCCTAGTAACGCTGTTTCAGTTGGTATGGGGTGTGCTGAGGCATTGGTATTTCTTTTTTTAAGTTCCTATATATACAGCCAGGGTTGGGAATTGCTGGACTAAGAAACCTGTAAGGCCTCTCCTTGCTCAGATATGCTATGATTCTCTGATTCTGTGGAAGAGTTTATGTGTTGAATTGTGGTATGTTTTATTTGGTGGAGTTGGAAGGTTAGAGCATAGAATTGAGAAGGGAAAAAATAAACATCTGTACGTAACTGGCCTTTAAGAATCTGTCAGATATTTCCTCATTTTGGAAAGAGGCAGAGAGTTGAGTTACTTCCCATAGTGACTTTTGGTCAGTCAGATTGTGAGTATTTCTGAACTGTGTAGGCCAATGAGGGCCTCTACCTGCACAAAAGGAGGGTGTGAGTGAGAATAATACCATACAGTGACATGAAGATTAGCGTGATGGCAGGGTGCAAGGGAAGACAGCTGAAGCCCGAAAACAGCCTGGCGAAGGATTGAAGAGGACTCTGAGAAGGAACATAAATTAACTGGATCAACAGATCAAACAAAGAGGTCCAGTGTGCTTTCTGAAATGGTTCTCTATTAAGAGTGTTTAAAAGAGATGTGTTATCTACTTGTTGTGTAAACTAAATCAAATTCTTAAGAATTGTTACCGGAAGGTCTGGAAGTTCCAAATAATGTGCCTGGAGCAGCAGACACCAAAGAGCAAAGGACAGGCTTCGCTAGGGCATGCTATAACATTGTACTACATTGACACAATTCACACTTTGATTATACACACAGATGCATAACATTTGGAATTGCACAGGAAAATCAGCCCTTGTTTCATACACACTCTTAGAGATACGAAAGGAAAGCTAGATGACCAGATCACTGGGGAGAAGGCTGTGAGGGGCAGATGCAGAGGGAACACATCATGATCTGCTGTGATAGCCACAGTCTAAGGGAGGGGATGAGGTGGGTAGCAGTGCGACCCTGGCACACTCAGCTAGAACTCACTGAACTTATCCTCCCTCTTCATTCTCTGCCTCTGCCTCTCAATCTCTCTTGGTGTTTTCCTCTTTGTCTCATTTCTCTCTCAGCTCCTGCACACCCTCTCCATTCATCTCCATTTCCTGAGGCCCTTTTTCTATCTTCCCACCTTCTTTTATATCCTTGATAGCTCTTGCTTCACCCCTCTCTTTTCCCCCAACCATCTTCTCTCTCTCGTCCAGTAATCAGATCATCAAAGCTGAAAAGGACCTAAGAAATCATCTAAGTTGCCCAGTTCTTTCAGGAAGGCAACTGAGGCTCAGGCCAGTTAGGTGGCTTCCCAAGGGCCACCCCTGAATTTGAGGCAGAGCCTGGTTTAGGACTTAGTTGTTTTGACTTAGTTAATACACCATGGCATTAGTGCAAAACTGATGGGTTTTAAATTACTTTGAAAAACTTTAGTGGATAGAGTTTGATGTTTCTTCCTCTTAATTAAAAAGTGAATGATGAATGAAGTATTTTATCATTCTTTCTCTTAAAAGAAAAAACAAAACAAATAGTGCATGTGTGGTAAAGATAAAACCTGACCATTTCCTCCCTTTTCCTCATTATTAATGAAGTAGGACATACACAGACTCAATAAAAATTTGCTTTAAAGTTTGTAAGAATTATTTAAATCTTAAAACAAACACACGTGAATCTCCCAGACCAAAGAAAACCCATGAGGGGAAAGAGCAATAAAGTGGGAGATGGGAGACCTTGATTGTGTTACTTCTGCCTTCAGGAGAGTCATTTAATCTTTTCAGACTTCAAAAATATGAAGGGATTGTACTAGGGATACCTAGGATGCTTTCCAGCTCTCAAATTTGGTGATTTGACTGGAAAAAAGCTCTGCTTAACTACTTCTCAAACTTAATAAACCAGAGAAAAGTCTAGCCCATGTCTGTAATGGGGCTGACTCCAGGAAGAAGGTATCAGATACTGGGTATGGACAGAGCCAGGGCTGCTAGTATTGATGTTCAGGTTGTGCACAGCACAAGGGCACCATATCTAAGAGGGTACTATTTACAATGTAGACATATCCTAGCTTATATAAGAGTGAGGCAGGAGAGGGCAAAGAGATTCTAGCCTCCCAGCCTACTTTTGGAATTCAGTGGTGGTGGGGGACCTTCGCATATCTACATTTATAACAGCACTTCCAACTATGTATGTTCATAGCCACTGGTAAACATATGTGCACCTGACTATGTGCCATCTTGACCATGATGCCCCAAGGGTTTCTTGAGGTTACTTCTTTCTCCTGCCTACTATTCTTGGAGGCCCAATTTCAGCTTCTCACCTCCACCTTGATAACCCAACTCCCAAACTGATGAAGAGGCCTAACCTGTCAGGTAGGGCTGGGTTGTGTGTGAAGTATCTGTGCTGCTAGTGGAATGTGTTCCCTGGTGTCTGGAGGATGTCTGAATAAATGAGAGGGTAGTACATGCCTGTGTGTAGACAACCAGGGCTGTTGCCCAACGTCACAGGGCTGCCACAGGTTGTAAAATAATATTTTCACATAATTAGTTTTTTACTTGAAGGAAAGCATCCTTTTCTAATTAGCTCAAAGGTGCCCTAGTGACTAGCAGTGACCATGGGCTTGGTAATATAGTTACAAAGGTGCTGGGAAGCCAATAAAAGGCTTCCCAGTATATCCCACATATTGTCCGATTTTGTAAATTCCCAGTTAGAGTTTTATTCTTTTAGAATAACCTTAGCCTTTGATCTCTCTAAAGGGCAAAGTCCCCTGAAGGGTAAAACTTCAAATTCATGTTAGGCAGTCATTACTCCTATGATTACATAAATGTTGAATGGGGCCTGAGAGTTAGCCTTTCCATGCCAGTTCCCAGGTGAGCATGATGCAGCCAGCCCTGGAATTGCTGGGCAAGAGACAAGAAAGGTTGCCTTTGGTGCTTTGACTATTGGGCTGCACGCAGGCACCCATCCTAGACTCCCTTTCTGAATTCCGTGGGTGTTGAGCCTGGCTGGCAGTTTTGTTCAGCTGCTGGAGGCCTCTGAGAGCCATACAGTAGTTAAAGGGTTTTGAGCTGCTTGGCAAGAAGATGCCCTCTAAGACAAAGTGTGGGCAAGTAACTCAGATGCCTATAGTTCCCATTAGCCTTTGCTGCTGGCTGGTCTCCAGATGCAGTGCCACAGCTGGATATATTCCTTAATAAGACAGTGGTTACACATTCTTAGTCTCAGAATTTGACTGCACACAGTTCTCTGCTTTCTATCTACTTGATGACAGACTGGTGCAGCTTGAAATGCAATCTCCAGGCTATAGGTAATAGATGTGAAAGCATTTTGAGGAGTAGAGAGCACTGTGCAAATGTAAGACATTATTATTATTACAGAGAAAAGGGAATCTATATTTGTATTGCTTTTTTAAAATTTGGGTTGGACAGAAACTAAATAGGGCTTGATGACGGATGAATCCTTGAGGCTATGCACATAGAAGAAAATTATCCATCAGGCATGGGTGTGAAAATGAAGACAATAAAATCGTTGTTGTTTTTGACTTGACAGCAGCCTTGGAAATAGCTGTTTTGTACTTAAAAAGTCAGAAATAGACTTTGAAAGAGTCTAGATTATGCATATTACTATGGTAGTACATTTGTGCATCTCCCCAAAATGTTTAATCTATATTTAAGCCAATTGGTTTATGATTAAAGCATAAGAGGGCCCCCACATGGCCCGCCGCACAAGAGAAAAATGGATCAAGGTAAATATGGGAAACGTTAGCTGCACTACATCTCCTGCTCTACATCTCCCACCACAGATGCCTCAAGGCAGTGAGAATTGCAACCACCAATGATCACAATCAATTGCAGGGAACTGGGCACTCCGTCACTTAGGTATGGGTAAGTGAAATGGCCTAGCACTTTCTGTAGTGAGGTAAGCAAGTCATTGCAGAGAGTGCTGTATTTCCTTTTCTGGGCTCTGCATACCTACAGTTGTTTCCTTGTCTTTAGTTGATTGGAATTTTTAACTTTAGCTTCTCTTTGTGACCTCATTTTTAGCTCAGGATGCAGAATGTCCACAGGGTAGAGAGTGACAGAGGAGGAACAAAGCCTGTTTGGGTTGATGGTCTAACTATAAACCTACCATGTGTCTTATCACCATTCTCTACCTTTTCTTTCTAGGGTGATTGTGTGTGGCTGAAAAAGTTCCCCTCTGGATATTTTGGAGACATTAAGTCCATCAAATCAAGGTCAAGTGATATGTTTGAAATGGTATGAAAAACCCTCATTTATATACGTTCCTATTAAAACCAATCCTTTCTCCAAAGTAACTAATACCAGCTGTTAAGAAGACCCCTTAACAAATCAGTACAGGGCAACTGCAGGGTTGTTACTGGCTTGATATGACCACATGATGGGCTCTGAAGTCAAAGAGAGATGAATGATTCAATTCCCAGCTCCAAAACTTGAGAGCTATACTTATTTGGGCATTTCACCTAAATGCTTTGAGCCTTACTTTCTTTATTTGTAAAAATATATTAATGTCTACTTCCCAAGGTTGGAATGAGGATTAAAAGAGAGAATACATATAAAGCATCTTGCACATTTTCTGACATATAGCTTCCTTGTAAAATTGTAGCTATTATGATTATTGTTAAGTATATATCCCATAATCATTCAAAATCTCTAGTTACCAGACCTGGAAAAGTCATATGGTAATTTCTGTTTACATAAGAGAAATGGTCATTTCCCCAATCCTACCAATTATGTTCAAAGAGTCCTTGGATGGTTTGTTTAAGGAAGTATTCTATAGAAAAGGCAGGGATGGTGATGATGGTGATTCCACCCAAGCCATTTAAAATCTTGGCTCCTCCTTGAGCTTTGAGTCCATAAAATATTTGTGGACACACTGATTTCTTCAGACTCATGAGAGTGGGATTTAGGAAGGTAGTGATAGATTTCTTCACATTTATGAAGCAGGCAAGTTCGAATCAACCCAACAGATTTGAATGAGGCGCTTGATCCAGCCAGAGCACTGTAGAAATGAGAAAACAAAAGAAATGGGAAAATAGAAGAGATGTGGCTTGCAAGGGACAGGATGTGCCCCAGAGGTCAGAATGAGATGATGTGATTTGGTATTTCCTTTACATGTGGTTTAAAACATTTTTTTAATTGAGTATAGTTAATATACAATATTATATTGGTTTCAAGTATACAACATAGTGATTCAACAGTTACAACCTATATTAAAGCCTCACCCCAACTAGTACAGTTACTATCTGTCAACATAGAAAGATGTTACAGAACCATTGACTATATTCTCCATGCTGTACTTCCATCCCCATGACCAACTTATATTATGATTGAGATTTCCCTTACATGTGGTTTTGATGCCTGAAGCTGAAGGGAAAATAATGAGAGATGAATCCAGAAGTGGGACCAGGGTCAGAGCTAGAATAGGCAATTGCATACTGGTTTAACAATCCAGGATGCTAAACAGAGCAGGATCCAAAGGACGGAGCCAAACAGGGCCAAACCTGGGGAAGCTGATAAACTAAAAGGATGGAAATTAAAGAACACACTCTTCTTTCTGTCTTTTTGGTCAGATATACTATAAAACTCAAATTCTGGATCATCCTAACTCTTAACTTGCTTTGTGCCTATGCTTGAAGAGCCAAGTATTGTGGTAGAAAGTTATGTAACAAGGTATATTGTTTCTACTATAAGTTCACATTTCTCATCATAAAATGTCCCTTAACACTGTCTTCTAAGTCTGTTATACTTCATTGGTTAATTCACTTTCTACAGCCCATAGTCCAAAGCTTCTCCATACTCCTTAAACCTCCTGTGTTTTTTTCTTCTATTTTTACTATTATCATCCTGGTCCAAACAACCATCATCTCCCACTAGAACTACTGCAATTGGCCTTTTTTTTAAAGAGAATTTATTAGAGCAGCTTTAGGTTCACAGCAAAACTGAGCAGAAAGTACAGAGTTCCCATATACCCCCTGCCCCCACACCTGCATAGCTTCCCCACTTTCAATATCCTGAATCAGGGTGGTACATTTGTTATAATTGGCAAGCGTATCATTATCATCCAAAGTTCATAATTTACATTAGAGTTCATTTTCGGTGTTGTATATCCATGGGTTTTGACAGATGTATAATGAATGTGTTTACCATTATAGTAACATAGAGAATAGTTTCAATACCTTAAAAATCCTTTGGGCTCCACCTATTTGTACCTCCATCCCCCTAACCTCTGGCTGCCACTGGCAATTGTACTGTAACTCCTTTACCCACATTCACTTTTACTACTCTTAAATCTTTTTTCCATATTGTAGTCAGAGTGGTATTTTCAAAATTGAATCTAATCTTGTTAGTTCTTTGTTTAAATATTAAATGGATTCCTATTGCTATTTTCTTTGTGTGGAGATCTTAAATTACAGATTCAATTTCTTGAGTAGGTATTGGACTATTCAAACTTTCTATTTCTTCTGGTATCAGTTTCAGTAAGTTATGGCTTAAAAGGAAGTTTTCCATTTCATTTATGTTTTCATACTTACTGGCATGAAGTTGTATGTGATATCCTTATGCAATCTTTTAAGTAGTTTTAGGATTTGTAGTGATGTCCCCCTTTTCATTCCTGATATTGGTAATTTGTCTTCTCTTTCTTGATCAGTTTCATTAGAGGGTATCGATTTTATTAATCTTTTCCCAAAATCAACATTTGCTTTGTTGATTTTTCTCTACTATATGCCTGCTTTCTATTTCATTGCTTTGTGTTCTTAATATTTCCTTCATTCTAATTTATTTGTCTTTAATTTGGTGTTTTTTTGTAGTTTTTTTGAACTGAGAGGTTTGATAGTTGACTTTTAACCTTCCTTATTTCCAAATAAAGTCCCTTAAAGTTAGGGAATTCCCTCTATGTACTGCTTCAGCTACATTTTGGGAGTTTTTCGTGTCTTTTTAAAACTTTTATTATGGAAAATAACAAACATATACAAAATAAACAGGATCATATAACCAAACTCCATATATGCCCATCACCCAACTTCAATAATTATCAACATTCTACCATTATTATTTCATCTGTACTTCCACCTACTTACACATTTAACTTGGTTATTATTCTTATTTTTTGTGGTGTTATTATTTTGCAGTTCTGTATTTTTGAGGTGCAATTACGTACATTGAAATGCCCATATTATAGATCTATAATTTTAATAAAGGGATATGCCCATATAACCTATACTCCTATTATGATACAGAACAGGGTCAGCAAAATATGGCCAATAAGCCAAATCTGGCTCATGGCCTGTTTTTTACAACCTGGGAACTAAGAATGTCTTTTATATTTTTAAAGGACAGTAAAAAAAGGAAAGCAAAGGTTATGCAACAGAAACCCTATATGTATGATCTGCAAAGCCTAAAATATTTACTATATGTACTTTACATAAAAAGATCGGCCCCTGACATAAAACATTTCTTTATCTCCAGAAAGTTCCCTTGTATTCTCTGGTAAATTTGTGCCCTGCCTCCCCAAGAGGAAACTACTGTTCTTTTTTTTCTCCATCTTACATTAATTTTGCTTATTTTATATTCTCATATAAGTAGAATCATACATCATACTGACTAATATTCACCCATGTTATTGTGTGTATAATAGCTTATTCTTTTCATTGCTATGAAGTATTTAATTGTATAAATATAGCACAATTTAATTATCTATTTTTCCTGCTGATGGACATTTGCACTGATTTCACTTTTGGCTATGTGAATAAAGCTGCTATGAATATGCTGTTCACAAGTCTTTTTATGGACACATATTTTCTCTTGGGTAAATAACTAGGCTTGGAATTTCTATGTTAAAGTATAGTGTACTTTTAACTGTATAAGACATTATCGAACCTTTTCCCATTTTAATATCCTGCAAGAAATTAGAATTCCCTTTGTTCTACATTGTCACCAATATTTGATATTGTCATTTTTTCTAGTTTTAGCCATTATAATAGGTTTATGGGGTATTTCATTGCATTTTCTAAAGTTTTCAGTTATGATAAAAAATAACATAAAATTTACCATCTCTAAGTGTACAAGTCAGTGATATTAAGTATGTTCACATTATTTTGCAACATATTGACATAATCTTTGCATCTTGCAAAATTGAAACTCTGTACCCATTAAACAACAACTCCCCTTTCCTTCCTCCCCTCAACTCCCAATATCCACAATTCTATTTTCTGTTTCTATGAACTGGACTACTTTAGTACGTTATGTGAGTGGAATCATATAGTATTTGTCTTTTTGTGACTGGCTTTTTTTACTTAACATAATGTCTTCAATGTTCATACATGTGGTAGCATGTGATTTGATTTCCTTCCTTTTAATTAAGGCTGAATAATATTTTGCTGTATATTATTCATTTTTTGATGGACATTTTAGTTGCTTCCCCCCTCTTAGCTATTGGGAATAGTGCTGCTCTAAATATGGGGGTGCAAATATCTCTGTGAGACCCTGCTTTCAATTCTTTGGCTGTATACCCAGAAGTGAGATTGATGGATCATATGGTAGTTCTATTTTTAATATTTTGAGAAACCACCATTCTGTTTTTAATTTTATTACAATTCCACCAACAGTGCACAAGGTTCCTATTTCTCCACATCCTCGCCAATACTTGTTATTTTCTGTTTTTCTTTCTTGATAGTAGACGCTTTAGTGGGTGTGAGGTGATACTTCATTGTGGTTTTAGTTTACACTTCTCTGATGATTAGTGATATTTAACATCTTTTCATAGGCAATTATAAACATTTTTGTACAAACATTTTTGTGAACATATATTTTCACTTCTTTTGGGTAAATACCTAAGAATAGACTGGCTGAGTCATAAAAGTAGATGGAAGTGTAACTTTATATGAAATTTCTAGGCAGTTCTCCAAATTGCTTATAACATTTTACACTACCGTCAGAAATGTATGAAGGTTCCAGTTGCTCTAAATTCTCAGAGATATTTGTCTTTTTGATATTTGCTTTTCTAGTATTTATGAAATTGGTATTTTATTGTGGTTTAATTTGCATTTCCCTGATGACTTAAGTTGTTGGGCACCTCTCCATGTGCTTATAATTCTTTTGTATATCTTCTTCTGTGAATTTCCTGTTCAAGTTTTTACCTATTTAAAAATTGTTTTGTTTAATTTTCTAATTGAATTGTTTAATTAAAAAAATTTGAATTGTAGACATTCTATATATACCCTGGATACGAGCCTTTGGTC